CGACCAGGACTAGAACCCAGGATGCCGGCTCCACAGGTGGAAGATTAACCAAGTGAGCCGCAGCGCTGGCCTCATGTAAATAAGTTTAAAAAAAAATTCTTCAGGAGAACATGCATAAGTTATCTGCAAATATTATGCTATTTTATTTAAGGAACTTAAGTGCAAGGTGTCCGGCGCTTAACAAATCTTCCCAGGCAGATGAATCAATTAAGTCACAGGCTTTTATTGGGGTTCCGCTCCCGGGCGAGGTTCCGCGGTCCCAATAGAGCAACAGAGCGGGGGCTGGGGAAGTCGCACGTCAGAGATTGGGAGAGCTCCTTTTATAGATTCAGGGCATGGGGGTTAAAGGTTGAGGCAGGTCTGATCCTCATTGGTTGACCTTTAGGCACCCGCAGGGACCTTGGCAAGGACTTTTCTTCCCCGAAAGTACAGGTAGAGACTTCTCCATTCCCGGAAGTATAGGCCTTCCTCCTTGCAGATCCCAAAGCTACCATTAAGCATCTCTGAATTTTCCATCTGCAGACACTGCTGGAACCCATTCCCAGAGAATACTAAGGGAAGACTGTCCATAAGAGTTATCTGCACTCCCATGTCATGCAGTATTTTATTCTTCGAAATTTCCATATAGTTTCATGAAGCAGTCTCATGCTATTTGGAAAAAAACAACACAAGGAAGTAGACAATTCTCTTAAAAAGAGGCAAGTCATTACATCTAAAGCTATAAATGTTGAAATACTCAAGTACTACAAAAAATTTTAGTATGATTCTCTTTTCTAACTTTTTTATTCCTCCTTTCCAGTTTCATAATTTTTTTTAATGTTTTTAAGATTTATTTATTTATTTGAAAGTCAGAGTTACACAAAGAGGAGAAGCAGAGAGAGAGAAAGGTCTTCCATTTGCTGGTTCACTCCCCAGTTATCCGCAACAGCCAGAGCTGTTCCCATCCGAAGCCAGGAGCCAGGAGCTTCTTCCCAGTCTCCCACACAGGTGCAGGGGCCCAAGGCCCTGGGCCATCCTCTACTGCTTTCCCAGGCCACAGCAGAGAGCTGGATCAGAAGTGGAGCAGCAGGGACTCAAACCAGCATTCATATGGGATGCTGGCGCTTCAGGCCAGGGCGTTAACCCACTGCACCACAGCACCGGCCCCCCAGTTTCATAATTTTTAACAATCAATTTTATCAATTCTTCAATTTTATTAATTTGCTTTAACTTGTGTGTATTTACTAAAATATCTGCGAAGCAAGGTTTTATGTGAACAGGTCTTCTAAATGTCATCTTCTTTTCAATATCCTTCCTTAGATTCCACAAGTAGAAATTTTTTTCTACTGTATATAGGTAATGTTCCTACAATTAGCTCACTGTTCAATCCATTGAGACTTTGAAGGTTTTCTTCAGAGCCTAAAGGACAGAACTCAACGACTTGACATTCATTTCCCATTTACTTAAGAACAAAAAATTATGGAGTGTTTGGCACAGCAATAAAGACCTCACTTGCAATGCTCGCATGGCATTTCAGAGTGCCTGGATTAGAAGCCTGGCTTGGCATCTGAATCCAACTTCCAGTTAATGCACACCTAGGGAGGCAGCAGGTGACAGCTCAAGTACTTGGGTCCCTGTCACCCAAGGGAGACCTGGATGGAGTTCTAGATTCCTGGCTTCTTCCTGGCCCAGACTGAGCCTACCCAGCTGTTGCGGCATTTGAGGGGTGAAACAGAAGATAGAAGCTCACTTACTCGCACTCTAACTCTGCCTTTCAAATAAATAAATAAATATTTTAAAAATTAATAAAGGTAAGCATTATTCAAATCAGTATTAGGTGGCGTTGTCACACTCTCTATAAAGATAATATCCTAGTAGACAGTGGCTCTTCCACTCTCCTAAAGGTCACTGGAAGTGAGGGCTAGTGTTCCGGCCACAGTCTCTTCTACCTACAACTCAAAAAAATCAATTCTCTCAGGCAGTTTAAGACACCATTCACGGCCGGCGCTGCGGCTCACTAGGCTAATCCTCCACCTAGCGGCGCCAGCACACCGGGTTCTAGTCCCGGTCGGGGCGCCGGATTCTGTCCCGGTTGCCCCTCTTCCAGGCCAGCTCTCTGCTGTGGCCCGGGAAGGCAGTGGAGGATGGTCCAAGTGCTTGGGCCCTGCACCCCATGGAAGACCAGGAGAAGCACCTGGCTCCTGCCTTCGGATCAGTGCGGTGTGCCAGCTGCAGCGCGCCAGCCTTGGCGGCCATTGGAGGGTGAACCAACGGCAAAAAGGAAGACCTTTCTCTCTGTCTCTCTGTCTCTCTCACTATCTACTCTGCCTGTCAAAAAAAAAAAAAAATCTAAAAAAGACACCATTCACAATGTCATACTACTTCCGTACTTAACTGCCACTGATATTTACTGTTTCCCACTTCACTTCTTTTAAGCAGTCTTACATCACTCAAGTTTACTATTTATACCTCCAGCATGACTTCCAATACATGTCATCTATAGTAATCAAAATTATTTTCCAGATCATAAAGCAAAAATACAAAAAAAGCCACAGCTACACAAACATGAGTTGCGCACTCAGTTTAAGACAGAGATGGGAGGCTGGTGCTGTGGCACAGCGGGCAAAGCCACCGCCTGCAGTGCCAGCACCCCATGTGGGCTCCCATTTTTGTCCCAGCTGTTCCTCTTCTGATCCAGCTCTCTGCTATGGCCTGCAAAAGCAGTAAAAGATGGCCCAAGTCCTTGGGTTGCTAAGCCCACATGGGAGACCCACAAGAAGCTTCTGGTTCCTGGCTTTAGATCGGCACAGCTCCGGCTGTTGCGGCCATTTAGGAAGTGAACTAGTAGATGGAAGACCTCTCTCTCTCTACCTCTGCCTCCCTGTATCTCTGCCTTTCAAATAAATAAATAAATAAATCTTGAAAAAAAAAAATGCTCACTGATCAAACATAAGCAAGACAGTCTATCATATTAGCTCCACTAGACAGAAAAAGCTCAGCGCTGTGGTGCAGCCACAGCCTGCAGCACCAACTTCCCATATGAGGTCCATCCCATATGGAGTCCCAGCTGCTCTACATTCAACCCAGATCCCGGCCAATGGACCTGGGAAAGCAGCAAAGGATGGCCCAAGTGCTTAGGTCTCTGCTACCCATGTGGGAAACCTGGACGATGCTCCTGGCTCCTTGCTTCTGCCTGGTCCAGCCCTAGCTGTTGTGGCTATCTGGTGAGTCAACCAGCAGATGAAAGATCTCTCTCTTTCTTTATGTCTCTATAACTCTTACACACGCAAAAAAAAAAAAAAAAAAAGAAAAAAGAAAAAGAAAAAGAAAAAGAAAAAGCACATATATAGAGAGTTGCTGTTGTGGTGCAGCAGTGAAGCCACTGCCTGCGATTCCAGCATCCCATGTGGGAGCGGGTTCATATTCAGGCTGCTCCACTCGTGATCCAGCTCCCTGCTAATTGCATGGGAAAAGCAAAGATGGTCCAAATGTTTGGGCTACCCACATGCAAGACCAGGATGGAGTTCCAAGCTCCTGACTGAAGCCTGTCCATCCCTGGCTGTTGCAGTCATCTGGGGAGTAAAACAGTAAATGGAAAATATCTCTGTGTCTCCCTCTCTCTGTTACTCTGCCTTTCAAATAAATAAATAAACGGTTAAAAAAAAAATGGATGTGAGCATAGTTCTGAATCTGCTAAACCTATCTCACTATATAATGCTGTTTCAATGATATACATACATCTAAATATTGAGTCAAATATATTGAAGATACCTTTATATTCAATTTTTGCTTAGGTCTTTAACTTTTTCTCTCAACACCTCTTTACATAATGAAAACTGTTAAACGTTCAGCCTTACATGACTAACAACAAAGACCTATCACAGCAATTCAGATATGGAAAAATAGCTAAATATTAAGAACTAGCACATCAATTATGGGAAAAATGAAAAATGGGATGGCTCCTTGGGGCCAGCATTGTGGCACAGATGGTTAAGCCACCACCTAGCAATGGCAGCATCCCACATCAAATGCCATTTTGAGTCCCAGCTGTTCCACTTCTGATCCAGCTTCCTGATAATGTACCTCAGAAAGCAGCAGAAAATAGCCCAAGTGTTTAGGCCCCTGCCACCCATGTGGGAAGACCCAGAGGGAATTCTGGGCTCCTGGCTTCGGCCTGGCCTGGCCCAGCCCTGGTTGTTATGGTCATCTGGGGAGTGAACTAGCAGATGGAAGATTCCCTAACTCTTGCAAATAAATAAAAACATAAATCTTGGGGCCAATGGTGATGTAGCAATTAAGCCACCTGCAGTGCTGGCATCCCATATGGGCTAGCTGCTCCACTTCCAATCCAACTCCTTAATGCACCTGGGAAAGCAGTGGAAAATGGCACAAGTCTTTGGGCTCCTGCAGCCAAGTGGGAGATCTGGATGAAGCTGCTGGCTTTAGCCTGGCCTAGCCCTGTCCATCATGGCCATTTGGGGAGTAAACCAGCGAATAGAAGACTTCTCTCTCTCTGCCTCCCTTTCTTTCTCCCCATAATTCTTTCAAATAAATAAATATTTTAAAAATTTTTTTAAATTTAAAAAATTTTTTAATTAAAAAAATTTTAAAAAGAGTCCCACAAATACCATTCCAAGGAATTTGAACTGCATTCTAAAACTCCTTATTTTTGCAGCCAAATAATAGAGAGACTAATGAGACATAAAATGAACCACAGCTCTGAGGCCCTAATACTGACTATCCTGTGGCTTTCTAAGAAACCTAAAGATTTTCCACCTTTGTGTCTCAATTTCTTCATCTGGTACAGAAAGGACCTGGAACAGAATCTAGCTCACACTCCATTCAGTTTTGAAAAATTCTGTGACAGAGCCGGCGCCGTGGCTCAATAGGCTAATCCTCCACCTTGCGGCGCCGGCACACCGGGTTCTAGTCCCGGTTGGGGCGCCGGATTCTGTCCCGGTTGCCCCTCTTCCAGGCCAGCTCTCTGCTATGGCCAGGGAGTGCAGTGGAGGATGGCCCAGGTGCTTGGGCCCTGCACCCCATGGGAGACCAGGAAAAGCACCTGGCTCCTGGCTCCTGCCAGGATCAGCGCGGTGCGCCGGCTGCAGCGGCGGCCATTGGAGGGTGAACCAACGGCAAAAGGAAGACCTTTCTCTCTGTCTCTCTCTCTCACTGTCCACTCTGCCTGTCAAAAAAAAAAAAAAAAAAAAAAAAAAAATTTAAAAAAAAATAAAAAAAAAAAAAAAAAAAAAAAGAAAAATTCTGTGACAGCAACAAAATTTACACTTTAGGACTATCACATATGACAGATACATTTAAGGTAGGGGGAGAAATAAGAAGTAGCAAATACAGTGTAATCAAGAAAGGAAAGCGCCGGCGCCGCGGCTCACTAGGCTAATCCTCCGCCTAGCGGCGCCGGCACACCGGGTTCTAGTCCCGGTCGGGGCGCCGGATTCTGTCCCGGTTGCCCCTCTTCCAGGCCAGCCCTCTGCTGTGGCCAGGGAGTGCAGTGGAGGATGGCCCAGGTGCTTGGGCCCTGCACCCCATGGGAGACCAGGAAAAGCACCTGGCTCCTGGCTCCTGCCATCGGATCAGCGCGGTGCGCCGGCCGCAGCGCGCCGGCCGCGGCGGCCATTGGAGGGTGAACCAACGGCAAAGGAAGACCTTTCTCTCTGTCTCTATTGTCTCTCACCCCCTCGGCCGTGCAAAAAAAAAAAAAAAAAAAAAAAAAAAAAAGAAAGGAAAGCAAGTAAAAGCAAGCAGATATAACGAAAGAAAAGAACAAAAATAGCTTCCAATTGAAGTGAGGGTTATATGCCAAATTCTGCAAATTTGGACGTAAAATTTTGGGAACGGTATGGAGGCGCCTAAAAGGCATGAAAGCTGTAAGAAAAACCTGCTACTAATATATAGTCATCCAAATATGAAGTTCACAGAGCCTAACTGTAAAATGGAGAAGAAATTCAGAAAGTCAAGGTTTCATAGTTGAGGATGAAGGTTAACAGAAAAGAAAATTGAAGATGCCATGTGACAACACCTAGGAATTCCTCACTGTCCTTAACTGAATTAAGCTCAAGACTAAAATCAATCAGAATATTCAAATCTTCAATTTTACAAAAATCAGCAATGAACTGCTACTGTAAGGGTTTTCACTTTAGTTTTACTGTATCATCTTGTATAAATGTACTGATAGTTCCATATCAATTAGCTAGGAATTTTCAGAAAGTTAGCAGAAATGCAAAATAAGATCAAATAGCAAACAGATTAAATGGATTAACTAAACAAATCCATGAGAAGTTATACACATAGAAAAAATTACAGTGGCAATTTTTGTATTGGCCTGAGGAGAAACTTCATCAGAAATACAGGCATGAAGACTACAATACTTCATTGAAATTGAATAATTAATGTTTTTCTGTGGTATGATCATTGATGTGACACTGGTCTCTGATACATATATACCTGGCAGTATTTCAATAGGTTTTTTTTTTTTTTTTTTTTTAAGATTTATTTATTTGAAAGAGTTCCAGAGAGAAAGATAGAGATTTTCCATCTGCTGGTTCACTTCCCTGATGGCTGCAATGGCCAGGAACCAGCCTTGGCCAAAGCCAGTAGCTTCTTCCAGGTCTCCCACATGATACAAGGGTCCAAGCACTTGTGTCATCTTCTGCTTCTTTTCACAAGCCATTACCAGAGAACTGGATCAGAAGTGGATCAGCCCGGACACCCACCAGCACCCATACAGGATGCTGGTGTCACAGGCAGCAGCTTTATGCCACAACACTAGCCCCAGGTGTGTTTCTTTAACAGAGTAAAATTGACACCTATACTATTATCCTCATTAAGTCTTTTTAATGTTCTTTACTGAATTTTTGTTCCCCAATTATATTTAAAGAGGAATCTGGGTGTGGAGTATATGGGAACTCTGTATTGCATCACAATTTCCATTTGTAAACTGAAAACTATTCAGAAATTTAAAAATGTAAAAAACAAACAAACAAAAAAAACAACCAAACCTTTGTGGAGGAAAACAGGTAGTAGAAGCTAACTCCTTTTGAACTTTTGAAGTGGATTTGCCTTAGCAAATTGCTTAGCCAACAATGGGAACATTGGTGAATTCCTAACAGACCTGTACCTGAGTGGACTAGTCTCCAACCATTGCCCAGCTTCTTTATTCGTTTGCAGAGTATGTGTATATATATATATATATATATGATTTATATATATGATTTATATTTATTTAATTTATATATTTATTTATATCATATATTTATTTATGTATTTATATAAATATAAAATCACCAGATACTGTTACAATCTGAAAAGAAAAAGTTTCCTAGGGGCCGGTGCTGTGGCACAGCGGGTAAAGCTGCCACCTACAGCCTCAGCTTCCCATACGGGCACCATATTGAGTCCCAGCTCCTCCTTTTTTTTTTTTTTTTATTTTCCAAATAACTGGTAGGCCGGCGCCGCGCTCAACTAGGCTAATCCTCCGCCTAGCGGCGCCGGCACACCGGGTTCTAGTCCCGGTCGGGGCGCCGGATTCTGTCCCGGTTGCCCCTCTTCCAGGCCAGCCCTCTGCTGTGGCCCGGGAGTGCAGTGGAGGATGGCCCAGGTGCTTGGGCCCTGCACCCCATGGGAGACCAGGAAAAGCACCTGGCTCCTGGCTCCTGCCATCGGATCGGTGCGGTGCACCGGCCGCAGCGCGCCAGCCGCGGCGGCCATTGGAGGGTGAACCAACGGCAAAGGAAGACCTTTCTCTCTCTGTCTCTCTCTCACTGTCCACTCTGCCTGTCAAAAAAAAAAAAAAAAAAAAAAAAAAAAAAAAAAAATAACTGGTAGCAAATTCATTTTCTTTTTTCTTTTAAGATTTTACTTATTTGAGAGGCAGAGTTACAGAGAAGCAGAGGCAGACCCAGAGAGAGAGAGAGAGAGAGAGAGAGAATCTTCCATCCACTGGTTCACTCCCCAGACGGCTGCAATGGCCAGAGCTGTGCCGATCGGAAGCCAGGAGCTTCTTCTGGGTCTCTCACACAGGTGCAGAGGCCTAAGGACTTGGGCCATCTTTTACTGCTTTCCCAAGCCATAGCAGAGAGTTGGATCAGAAGTGGAACAGTTGGGACTTGAACCAGAGCCCACATGGGATGCCAGCACTGTAGGCGGTGGCTTTACCCACTATGCCACAGTGCCGGCCCATGCTCCACTTTCAATCTAGTTCTCTGCTAGGCCTGGGAAAGCAGTGGAAGATGGCCCAAGTCCTTGGGCCCCTGCACCTGCATGGGAGACTCAAAAGAATCTCCTGGCTTTAGATCAGTCCAGCTCTGGCCATTGCGGCCATTTGGGAAGTGAACCAGCGGATAGAAGACCTCTCTCTCTCTCTCTCCCCCTTTCTCTCTCCCTCTGCCTCTGCCTCTCTTTAACTCTACCTTTCAAATAAATCCTTTAAAAAAAAAAGTTTTCTATTCAGAATACATGTAGTTAACACATACTTTAATTGACCCAAGAATAAAAAGAATTTAACAGAAATTTCAAACTGATAATCAACTCTAATAACCTAATGATTAGCTACAAAGGCAGCTTTAAAAGGACAGAAAGGAGGCCAGCTGGCACTGAGGCATAGCGGGTAAAGCCTCGGCCTGCATTGTGGTGTAACAGGTAAAGCTGCTGCCTGCAACACCAGCATCCCATATGGGTGCTAGTTCGGTTTCAGCTGTTCCACTTCCAGACCTAGCTAAGCAGGGGAAGATGGTCCAAGAGCCTGGGCTCCTGCCACCCATGTGGGAGACCCAAATGAAGCTACTGGCTTTGGCATGGCCCAGTCCCAGCATTGTGGACAGCTGGGGAGTGACCCAGCAGATGAAAAATATTTGTATCTCCCTATCTCACAGTAATTCTTTCAAATAAATAAATCTTTATATAAAAAAAAACCTTCATAAAGTAGCCCAAGATACAACACTTAGAAACTAAGACATTTTAATTAAAACAACATCACTAGACAGTTTCATTTAGGACCTATTCCAGGATTTTTACAGGAAAGTTAAAACTGGATACTAACAAAATATCTGCCTGCTTACTTAATGAAGTCACGCTTCGTCAGCCAAATTGGAGGTTTTGAAAAATTTTGATTAATGGCAAGTCCAAGAAAATTTACATATTTCATACAGCACAAATAAAATTCTGTTCACAGAACCTTCATACTTGGGATCTCTTTTGCCATATACAGAAAGGTAAGACCTACATTCACTAACAACTCTGCCCTCTGACAAGTTTATAAACATTACTGTCATCTTATTCAATCTTTTTTTTTTTTTGGACAGGCAGAGTGGAGAGTGAGAAAGAGAGACAGAGAGAAAGGTCTTCCTTTTTGCCGTTGGTTCACCCTCCAATGGCCGCTGCGGCTGGTGCATGGCGCTGATCTGAAGCCAGGAGCCAGGTGCTTCCTCCTGGTCTCCCATGTGGGTGCAGGGCCCAAGGACTTGGGCCATCCTCCACTGCCTTCCCGGGCCACAGCAGAGAACTGGACTGGAAGAGGAGCAACTGGAACAGAATCCGGCGCCCCAACTGGGACTAGAACCTGGTGTGCCGGCGCCGCAGGCGGAGGATTAGCCTAGTGAGCCATGGCGCCTGCCCTTATTCAATCTTAAAATAAACGTAAGTACTACACCATACATCCAAATAATTACAATGCAAACATTAAGAGCCGCAGATAACAGATTTCTACCATAATACCTATTTTATTGGTATATTACAGACATGAATCTAAAGCAAATACTATGCAGTAAAAACCAGCTAAAACATGTTTAGTTTCCCAAACTACAAGAATATAGCATTTGCTTCTGGACACAAAGTAGTTGCTAATAATTCCCAGTCCTATTTAATCAAAACTTGGTCAACCCCAGTTTTCTCATTATTTAACACAGAGAATGAGCTCTAAATTATATTTATCTATAATAATTATTTCATAGTATTTTCCACTGCTTCAACTACTATCCTTTAATCCCCCAAAGCATAATTAATTAAAATAAAAACCCTAAGGTATCTATTTTTTTTTTTTTTTAAAAAAAAAAAAGGTCACCTAGATAACTAGAACACTCTAGTCAAAGACCAGTGTCTCAGGAACTGACCTCAAATTACAAAACTGATAAGTACAAGGCAACAAAGAACTGGTATAAGTAAAAATATATTCAAAGTAACAAAATAAGCTGCAAATTCCCTGGGAACTCAAAACCTGATTCTGTGCAGTATTTGAGAAACATAATT